CCGTCATGCTCCCTCCAGCCACTACCCCTTCTCTAGGACCGAAAATAACCAGTCTTGACATTTTATTACTGTTATTTTTGACTTTTCAACATTATTTAAATGAACTCATCATTAAGTACTCTTATGCCTGGCTTCTTGTACTGATCACTGTGTGTTTATGACTCATCTATATTGTAGCATGTAGCAAATTTTCCTTCTTGTACAGTTCCATTTTGTGCCATAATTTATGCTGCTGTTGAGGGTCCCCCACCTTGTTTCTAGTTTCAGCTGTTACCATTATTGCTGCTGTGAGCATTCTGGTATGTGGTCTTTTGGTGAATGAGTGTGTGGCTGTTGGATTTACACCTGTTGGACTTTCTGGGCACAGGATGTGTAGGAGATAGTTATAGTTTTCTAAAGTAGTCGTTGGTTACAGCCCCACAGCAGTGGCTGAAAGCCCTGTTGGTGCCACATCTTCCCTGTCTTGTCTTGTCAGTCCTTTTGGTGCTGGTGTTTTCTTGTTGCGACTTTCATGTTGGATGGTGTAAGATTGAATATCCTTACGTGTTAAGAGGCAGCTCAGATGGACTCAACCGTCCGGGCGAGCAGGAGAACCCTTGCTGTGCTCCACAGGGCAGAGCGCTGAGGTATCTCACTCCTTAGCTTCCGGTGTCTAACGGCGCTCTTCTCTGCTGTGCGTGGTGGTTTTGCTCCCTGTTTCCAGCACCCTGAAGCAACAGAAGGAAACTTGCTTCTTCATCTAAGAGGGTTCTTGCTCTTTCTATAATAAAGACAGGTGGACACTTCCACTGAAAGTTAGCACTTACTAAGTACAAGGAAGGTCGGGTTAAGAGAATGAGAATTAAGTGAGGGCTCCCACAGATCAGTAGTAGGATAAGCGAGTAAAGGAGATTGACTGGGTTCTCAGTGAAGACCCCAGGGCTCCCTGGTGTTGGGGGTGGCAGGGGACAGCTCTGTAAGAAGAGGGCAGAGCACTGATCTTGGAAAATAGTGCTGAGTCTTTACCTCTTCCCTGCACAAAGTACAGTTGAGAGTTGAATAACATTGGGGTAGTGGTGCCAACCACCTATGCAGTTGATGTGCGTATAACTCAGGTCAGCTTCTGCACCCTAGGGTTCCTAACTGCCAGGTGACCTTGAGTGGGTTTGAGTTGCATGGCTCATTTGCAAAAAAAAAAAAAAAAAGTCCACGCATAGGTGAACTCACGCAGTCCAACCCACAATGTCTAGGATCAACTGTAGTCCTAAAGAAGGATCTGGTCTAAGAATGGCCCAGAGTTTTCCAGTGACACAGTCCATTTGAGGAAAATTGTCACACCAGTACAAGAGCACATAGCTTGGCTCCAGGATAAGGAATGGGTGGAACATGCAGTGTTAGGTTTAGTGTTGACCTTGGATTTCTCTCCTGTCAATCATACTTTCTATATGAAAACCGCAGAGTCAAGGGGTCGAGTTGGGGGACTGCGTAGTTCACGAGCATAATGGGGTAAGAATCACATCTACTGTAGAGACCATAATTACACTTTAATTTTTAGCCACTTGGAGGCACTTAGGTATCAGAGCCATTCAAGCATACCCGCCTTTGAATCTTAGCAGTAGATACAGAGCTCAAAACAAGAACTCGTCAGAAATGAAGAACGCAATAACTGAAATGAAAGATACACTAGAGCAGTGGTCTCCAACCTTTTGACCCCAGGGACCGGTGCTCCTATGAGAATCTAACGTCTGGTGATCTGAGGTGGAGCTGAGGTGGTGATGCTAGCGCTGGGGAGTGGACGCAAATACAGATGAAGCTTCACTTGCCTGCTGTTTACTTATTGCTGTGGGGCCCGGTTCCTAGAAGGCCACAGATTGGTTACTGGTCCATGCCCTTGGGGTTTGGGGACCCTTAAGTAGAGGGAATCAGTAGCAGGTTAGATAAAGTAGAGGATCGAATCAGTGATCTGGAAGACAAGGCAGTGGAAAACACCCAACCAGAAGAGCAAAAAGAAAAAGGAATTTTTAAAAAAGGGGTAGTTTAAGGCAGGGTTCCCCAACCCTCGGGCTGTGGACTAGTATCAGTCTGTGGCCTGTTAGGAACCGGGCTGCAGAGCAGAAGGTGAGCAGGGGCAAGCCAGCAAAGCTTCATTTGTATTTTCAGGTGCTCTCCAGTGTTAGCATGACTGCCTCAGCTCCACCTCAGATCACCAGGCACTAGATTCTCATAGGAACACCGGTCCCTGGTGCCAAAAAGGTTGGGGACTGCTGGTTTAAGGGACCTCTGGGACAACATCAAGCATATCAACATTCACATCACAGGAGTATGAGAAGAGAGAGGAGAGAGCAGGGAATTGAAAACTTATTTGAAGAAATAATGACAGAATTTCCCTAACCTGGTGAAGGAAACAGGCAGACAACCCCAGGAAGCGCAGAGTCCCAAACAAGATGAACAGAGAGACCCACTCCAAGACATAAATGCCAAAGGTTAAGGACAAAGAATCTTAACCGTAGCAAGAGAAAAGCATTTATGTACAAGGAAGCTCCCGTAAGACTGTCAGCTGATTTCTCAACAGAAACTTTGCAGACCAGAAGGGATTGGGACAGAACATGCAAAGTGATGAAAAACAACCAGGATTACGCAGTAGGGCTGTCATTTAGAATCACAGTAGTTTCCCGGGCCAGGAAAAGCTAATGGGGTTCATCACCACTAAACCTGAAATGTTAAAGGCAATTCTATAAGAAGAAAAGTATGAAAAATATGAATTGGAAAACAGGAAAAAATTCTGACAAAGGCAAACAGTAAAAACAGTATCAACCAACTACAAAGCTAGTACAAAGGTTAAAAGGCAAAAGAAGGAAGATCTATGTAATCACAACAATAAATTAACAGACACAAAAGTAAAAAATGACAAAAACAAATGGGGAAAATTGTGATTTTAGAATGTGTTTCAACTTAAGCAACCATCAACTTAAACTACTAAACATAGCTAGGTATGTATGAAGCACAGGGTAAACAAACCAAAAATCTACAATATATACAAGAAAGAAAGAGGAATCCAAACAACACTATAGAATGTCAACATATGAGGGAAGAGAGCAAGAGTCTAAAGGAGCAGAGAACTACAAAAACAATCACAAAACAATAAAATGGCAGTAATACATACCTATCATTAAATGTAAAATAAAAAGACATAGGGTGACTATATAGATAAAAATATACCCTTGTCACCTACAAGAGACCGCCCCCGCCCCGACTTCAGATTGAAAGACGCACATTGACAAAGGGATGGAAAAAAATATTTCATGAAAATGGAAATGAAAAAAAAAAGCTGTGGTAGCAATACTTATTTCAGGTAAAATAAAACAAAGGCTGTAACGAGACAAAAAAAATAGCATTTCACAATAATAAAGGCATCCAACGAGAGGATGTAACTTTTGTAAACATTTGTGCACCCAATGTAGGAGCACCTGAATATATAAAGCAAATACTGATGGACACAGAGGGAGAGAGTGACAGTAATACAGTTGGAGCAGGGGACTTTACCATCCCACTGACATCAATGGATAGTTCATCCAGACAAAATTAAAAAGGAAACAGTGGCTTTAAAATGACAAAACAGCATGGCACTGACATTAAAAAAAACCCAAACAACATATAGTCAATGGAACAGAATAGAGAGAGCCAGAAATGAACCCACAACTATATGGTCAATTAGTCTGATAAAAGGGCAAGAATATACAATGAAGTAAAGACAGTATCTTCAATGCAAAAACAAACAAAAAAACTTTCTTACACCATATACAACAATAAACTCAAAATAGATTAAAGACTTAAATGTAAGACTTGAAACCATAAAATTCCTAGAGGAAAAATATTGGCAGTAAACGCCCTGACATCACTCTAATATTTTTTGGCTATGTCTCCTTGGGCAAGGGAAACAAGAAAAAATAAATAGGACATCAAACTAAAAAGATTTTGCACAGTGAAGGAAGCCCATCAATAAAACCAAAAGACAGCCTACTGAATGGGAGAAGATATTTGCCAATGATACATTCGGTAAGGGATTAATATCTAAAATATATAAATAATGCATCCAACTTAACACCAAAAAACAATTTGATTAAAAAATGGGGAGAAAGACCTGACACATATGGCCAAGAGTATGAAAAGATGCTCAACATCATGAATCATCAGGGAAATGCAAACTGAATCTCCAACATCTCACCTCACACTTATCAGAATGGATATCAGAGAAATCAACAAGTGTTGGGGAGAATGTGCAGAAAAGGGACCCCATGCGCACTGTTGCTATGATCGCAAATTGATACAGCCGCTATGGAAAACAGTATGGAGGCTCTTCAAAAAATTAAAAGTAGAACTTCCATATGACCCAGCAATCCCACTTCTGGTTATTTATCCAAAGAAATCCAAAACACTAATTTGAAAAGATATACGCACTTCTGTGTTCACTGTACCATTATTTACAATAGCCAAGATTTGGCAGCAACTTAGGTGTCCATCGATAGACAAATGGAAAAAGATGATGTGGTACATATATACAATGGAATACTACTCAGCCACAAAAAAATGGAAATCTTGCCATTTGCAACCACATAGATGGACCTATATGCTAAGTGAAATAAGGCGGAGAAAGACAAATACCATATGATTTCACTTATATGCGGAATCTAAAAAGCAAAACAAATGAAAACCCTCAGATTCAGAGAACACATTGATGGTCGCCAGAATGGGAGTGGAGTTGGGAGGATGAGTGAAAAAGGTGAAGGGATTAAGAAGTATAAATTGCCAGTTATAAAAATAGTAATGGCGATGTAAAGTACAACATAGGGAATATAGACAATAATGTAATAGTATGTGGTGTCGGGTGAGTACTAAACTTTACCAGGGTGTTTACTTCATAAGTTATGTAACTGTCTAATCACTATGCTGTACACCTGAAATTAATATACTGAATGTCAATTGAAAAAATGAATTTAAAAGAGTAGATGATCACACAACTCTTAGGATAAATCAAAATTAGATGAAGGTTATTTATTGGTGCAATTCTTTTCCTGTAGTGAGCTTCCTTTACACAGCCATGGTGTAAATAGCATCAAATTGAATGAAAAGTTTGTTAAATGCAACCATAAATAATTATAATAAATATACATCAAGTAACTTTACAGCACACGTTTTTTAGGGCCAAGGTTTGGATTTGTCTGGACCTCAATGTGCTCTCTGGGAGAAGCAATCACGTTAGCAGCAGTATCTTACTCACAGCTGTCATCTAATCAAGTGATGGGCCAACAGAAGCTTCCCGCACCCGTCCTGGGGAGGTAGCTGACAGTTCTGGGTCCATTCAAGGAATGGGAAGGATTGGAGGGGACCAAGACTTTAAAAATACAGGAGGAAGAACCACTTCTAATAAATCCAAAGGCTCTTTCATTATGCAGAAATGAAATAAGAGGATCCTTGTCAGGACTACATCCTGCTGCGACCCCCAGTTAAGGGGGCTGGGGCCCCGGGAGGCGGCGGCCAACCACATTCCTTCCAGGTAAGGGAACTGCAGGCAGTCACCTCTAGACAGTGATCCTGCATCACATGGAAGTGACGCCACCGGACGGTTAATCCGGCTTTCTGTTTCTGTAGGTTAGGGAATCTTTTCTACAATGGTCCTTAATGCAATTCCTAGGAATAACGGGGTGACGGGTGCTATCGGCTCTAACTCTAAAATCCACACCCTCCATCAGGCCAGGCCCGCAGGGGGGGGGGGGCCGCACCTCCCTTTCTCACCAGCATTTACGCTCCAGAGCCGCCTAGCAGCGCTCACTCAGAACTTTAGTATTCACAATATTATACAATAAATACAGTGATGTGATTCTGTGAACTGGCAAGGCCCAAAATGACAAGTGTCCAACAAGATGACATATGCTGCTCTTGAACAAAGTACCTGGACAGAGACTTCTTTGGGGCACAAACGCAGGGGGCAGTGGCTGAGCCTGGAGCAGCCCAGCCCTGGTGCGCACACTGGGCGGCGAGGGGGTTGCTGGGTGAGCCCAGCCAGAGGGGCAGAGGGACGCCCCCACTTGCATTTCCATCCGGACTGGAAGGGTCTCAGTCACCGAAGTAGACCCCGAGCTGAGCAGAGCACCTCAGACAGCTCTTTTTGAAATGGGTGTGTGGCCCTTGGAGAAAGGGCCGTTTGAGCACAGAAGTGGGGCAGGCTTGAGTCGTGTGCTTTCCTGGTCAATCCGTCTCAGAAAAAGGTCCCCACTCGAGCACTGTCCCTCCGACTCCGGGTGTCCGCTCACCTAGAGCTGGGACGCACCTGGCCTGGCTCTGAACCAAGGTCGGGAATGACCCCTTTTGTCTCCTGCCCCGACGAGCTCTCGGGGGGAGCTGTCAGACCAGGGCCCCAGAAGAGACGGAAAGCAGAGAGGGGTCGTCTGGGTGGGAAGGGACAGGGGACACCACGGGCTTTTCCTTAGAAAAACCCAGACCATAAACAAGGTTCTAGCTGGAAGATTAACGTATAAACCTCCACGTTTGGGTAGCTGGCTTAACCATTTCGAGATGGAAGGAGGCCTGCAGGCGCCGCGTCCAGCAGCTCCGGCCGAGGCGGGAGGGCCGGCTGCCCGCAGGCTTGTCTGTGGAGCTGCCCTGCAGAAGGAGCAAGGAGCGGCGCCCTTTGCGGCGATGGCATTCCACCCCAGCTTCCTGCTGGGTGGTTCTGCGATGTGCAACCTGCGGGCCTTAGGGCATCAGAATCCGGTGGCCACGAAGGACAATGTCCAGGAAGATCAAATGAGACACAAACCGGGAACTAAACTATCCTACAAACATACCATAAACAGGTAGCAAAAGAACCCACCACGAAACGTACAAATACAGAAGGTTAAGTAAGTCCTCCAGGGGGCCCTGGAATGTGGACACAAGTTCAGAAAAGCAAATCTCGCCAACCCCTCACGCAGGGCCCTGGAGGGACGTGCCTGCAGTCGCAGGCTTCCCAAGCCGGCAGAGCGGTGCCTCGGTGACAGCCTCACTCTGGGGCTCCCTCCCTCAGCCACTTAGCGGGTCTTCGCGGTAGTGAATGGCACAACGAAGTTTTTCCAGCATGATTTCCAGAGAGGAGTACTGGGGAAGCTTGATCATGAACATGCAGGTCTCCACGCGGATGTAGCGCGAGTCTGGGGAACCTACCGGAAAAACACAGGGGCCCGCGTTAAAGGGCTGGGCTAGGATCCCAGGAGGCCTGGCTGGCCCCTCCCACGGGCCAGGGGGATGAGGGCACGGTAGCCTGGGGTGGGGCAGGAGAAGATTCCAGATGGGAAAAGGGCAGGGACAACAGCACAGGCACCAGACTGCTGACCAGTGAGGGAATCTGTTTGCAGATAGGTTTGTCTGATAAGCAAAGGGTTCTGTTTTAATTACTTTTCTGCATTTAAAAGTTGAAAGATTAAAACAATTCTGGATTTTTAGCTTTTAAAAATAATGGAATATATGTCAACATCGGGCCTGTACTGCCACGCGGTGAAGGTCGGGTCTGGGAGGCACGTGACCCTGGACCTGTCCCTCATTTACATTTGGGTTTTGGTGCTTGGGGTCGCATGTCCATTGTTCACCCTCCCTCATGCAGGGCGCAGCTCCCAACTTGAGAGGCGGGCCTGTGTGTCCTCACTTGGAGCATGACCAGGGGAGGGCAGTACCTGCTGTGCCATCCGGTGGGGCGATCTTCATGGGGTACGGGGGCACGTGGGCTGTGTCGGGGCCCCCGTCTTTGCAGGGGCAGGTGAACGGGATGCGCTCCTGGTTGCAGGCAAACTTGATGAACTTGCACAGCTCCTCCTGGGCAAACATCTCCAGTGCCCCCCAGAAGAACTCGATGTGCTGGTCCGTCTCCATCAGCCCCACCTGGTACATGGTGTGGGCCTGGGGAAGAAAGCAGCAGCGCCACTGCTAACCCAGAGCCTCCCCAGGATGGGCCCAACCCCAGACAGGGTGCGGCCGGGAAATGATGGCCAAGGGACACGGGGAGGTTCGGTGACGACGATCACCGCAAAGGCAGTTGTATCAGTGCTGGTCTGTGGCCTGGGCACCAGGCCTGGCAGCAGGGACTGTACGTATGGTACCCCTTTGACCCCACTGGGCAGGTCTTCTCACCATACCCAGCAGAGGTAAAGTGACAGGCACAAGGTCTCCTAGCTGGCAAGGCCAGGAGCAGGCCAGGCTGAGGAGTGGAGGAGTCTTGGCAAGAATATGCGTCACCTCGTGATGGTGGCTTACAGCATGGGCTCTGGAGTCAGGCAATCTGGGTAGAGTTTGACTCTGCCATTTGCTGGCTGTGTGACCTTGGGTAAGTGACTTCTCTCGTAGCTTCAGTGAACTCAGCTATGAGGTGGGGATTAGCACAGCCCCTCCCGCATGTGAAGAGGACAGAGTGCTGGGCCACGGAAGGTGCTGTGACAGACCACTGACCTTGAGGAACTCGAGGTTGATGTAAGGGAGGCCGCAGGTCCGCAGCTCCATCTCCAGCGGGCTGAGCGTGGTGAGCAGCTGCAGGGGGATGATGGAGCCCAGGCCGGCCCGCACCGCCGTCACACACTCGTCATTCTGCAGCTCCCGCAGCCGCAGGCTCCTGATGGCTGCTGCGTAGATGTCCTTGTTCTCCCACCTGTGGGGTACGGTTGGGGGGGGGGGCAGGGAGAGGTGAGGGAGGGCGCTCGTGGGGTTGCTCCTAGGTGCCCAGTTACCCAGATTCCTCGGTCCTGGAAGCTCAGTGAATTCCTCTCTTGCCTCTGGGTGTCACCTACCTTCGAGTTGTTTTCTTAATAAAATCCTTCTACTGAAAACAGTCCACCACCTTCCTTGGTACCCAATGTCCTGCCTCACACTCCCCACCCCCTCCTGGTGAAGGCCACCTGTCACCTTGTGCTGTTGCCCAGGTCCAGGTGCTACTGTCACACCCTGACCGACCAGTTCGGTCAGTCCCCTCCCCATGCGCACATACTCACGCCACAGGGACGAGCCGGCCGCGGCTGCACAGCTCCACCTCCTCGCCCGTCATGGTCAGGTAGGTGAACCTGCAGCAGGGCTTGTTGGGACCGTCGGGGCTCTCAGTGGCCAGGTGCTGAGAGGCGATCTCGGCACACAGCGCTTCCAGCTCGGTCTCGTCGTTGATCTGGAGGGCAGAGGCAGACCGAGGCTGACTGGCTGCCCCACTCCCAAGGCCCCTCGGGAGATGGCATCCCAGTCTCCAACTGGGCAAGCACCAGGCACGGTTGGGGCGGGAGCTACCCGCGGCCATCGTGAATGGGCCATGGCTCAGGCCTGGCCAGTCGGAGCCTGCCGGGGGTTGGGGGCCGGGCACGTGACCCAAGCCTGGCCAACGAGACTCCAGTTGCGGGGCTTTTCCTGAGACTGTTCGGAAGCGGCAGCCTCTTTCACTGGTGTGGACGCAACAGTAAGATGAACACCTGGTCCTGCTGGGGGCCACCCTGAGACTGATTATTGATGCTGACGTTGGAGCACCCTGCCTGAAGCCAACACTACATTTGTACATTTAGTTTTAAGAGCAAACTTTAAAAAAATTTTCTTAAGATGGTTTGACCTGGGCTTTCTGTCACTTGCCATTAGACAACCCTGACATAATTCCACCCGTGGAAGACATAGGGGCTGGCCTCTCCGCCATCTGGCACACATTAGGCTCCAAAAGACACTGATGTGCAGGCTGAGCTACTGAACTGATAGCAGGATCGGACCCAGAGCAGAATGAGCCTGCAGCTTTGGATGAAGGTGGGAGTTAGGGTCTGGTCATATACGTGTTCTTAGCTGCAACCTCCCTACCATGGTGAAGGCTGCAGACACCCGGCAGAAGTTCAGAGCACTTCTCCTTGGATCTTCCTTCCCTGCCCCCACCCCTGGTGTAGTTCTGGTATTCCTGGTGTTCCAGCACCTTCTGGGGCCTTGCCCGTGCCTTTCAGACAGCAGCCTTGGCTGGACTATCTGCCTGGGCACCATCTTACATGCCCTGCCTGCCCCAGGCCCTTGCTGCCACCCACCACCCCAGGAAGACTCCTCAGAGCAGTGGCTGACAGGTACTCCCAAATCCCCAGCCCATGGGGGCATCTTGCTTTGACCCTTTAGACAGTTCAATGTCATCCCTCTTTCTGCTGAGAAGCCAACTCTAGCCTGTATCTCGGCTTTGTTGCTCCCTTGTGCAGTCTGCCCCCAAGTGGTAGCTAAGGGGATGACTTAGGCAATCAGGTTCCTCAAAGGACCCATCAAGTTTTGTGACAGTGGGGCACGATCAGGATCAGCCAATGACCTCCTTCAGATGAGGTCCCTCTGGAGAGCAGCCTCGGCCATGCCTCAGACACTGTCAGGTCACCCCCAGTCTGCTGCTGTCAGTAGGGAGGGAAGCCAGAGGCTTTTGTCCCCATGAAGTAAACCTTGCTGGCAGAAAGGGCTCACATTCCCTAATGTTTCCTGGGAAATCCCAACCAGTCTTTAGTTGGGGAGCTCGGGTACCCCAGCCCATGAAGGCAGCAATAAGGGTCCTGGAGACACTGCTCCTGCTGCCCCTCAGAATAAATGGACTTTCCACTTACACTCTCGAATTTCTTGACATAATTGTAGGTGAGTATGTCTGCTTCCTGCAGGTCTCGGTCAGGGTCCAGGGGCTCGCCCACCAGCGTCTTCCAGAAGGAGGGCAGGAGGTCCAGTGGAAGAGGGACGTCGGCTCGAATGGCAATTCCCAGCAACTGCCCCAGGAAGTGCAGCAGCTGCTCCTCCCCATAGGTGACGGGGCTGGGGGTCAGGATGTACTTGCCCTGGAGGTAGAGGCAGAGTTGCGGTGACTGGCATGTGCTTTGACTTCTCGCTGGGGACACATGTCCCAGAGCTGGTCCAGCCAGGGCAGTGAGGGCCAGCTCCACCCAGACTAGGGAGGTTTACAAGGGCAGAGGGCTGCTAAGGACATGCTCCCATGACCCCGAGTCACTGCCCCTCAGGAATGACCGCTGGGGGGCCGGGCTTCGAGTCCAGGTCTTGGGTGTCTTACCTTATTCTTGTTGACAGCTGAGCTGGGGCACAATAGAAGGAGGGACAGCGAGGAGCTCTGCAGCTCTTTACACACCTGCCACAGGAAGTGGCGGAAAGAGCCACCTGCGGGACAGATGGAGACCTGTCAGCCCTGGGACTCCACGGCCTCCCTAGCCCACAGGCACTGTCCCCACATGGACCCTCAACTCCTTTGCCAGCTGCAGCAGAGTGGAAAGAAAACTCGCCCGAGGGCCAGGAGACCTGGGGTCACATGCTGCTGTGCCACTTACCAGTTGGGCAACCCCAGAAAATCCTTCACTCGCTGAGCCAGCCTCACTCAATCTATCACGGGGGTGGGGGGGGGGCAGGAAGTGTACCAACCTCCCAGGCTGGTTTCAAAGGTTCGATGAGATCGAGTGCTGACCCTAGGAGCAGCAGCTCTCACGCTGCCAGCTGACTTGTGGGCTTGTCTGAGCCGTGTCCGTCTCCCGGGCTGCGCCAAGAGTAGGGCGCTGGGTTCACCCAGCACGGCCTCCCACCAAGGCCCAGGGGCTCAGTGCTTGCTCAGTGAACGCACAGCTGCATGGACGGACGCGCGAACACAGACGAAGGGCAACGGGCCACTGTCAGCCCTCCACACTGCCATCCCCAAGGTGCCTTCGGTTTTCCTCTCAGTGGCTGGGCCTCTTCTACCCTTCCCTCTGCGTCCCCCCTCAGTGCCCTGAGGGCAGGAAGCTGAGGACAGCTGCTTGGTTGGAGCTGCATGGAGGATTTGCTTGGGGACAGATGTCAGTGTCTGGCCGTCACTCAGCTTCCACGGGGAGACAGGAAGCCACCAAGCTTTGGGCTTTGGAATCGGACAGACCTGGGCTGGAGCCCCAGCTCGCTGCCTGACCTTGGAAAAGCTACGTAACTTCGTGGTAGCCCAGTCTGCTATACGTAAAGCGGGCCACCACCAGTACTTTGTGGCATTTTGGTGCTGTGAGGAGTGTGGCGTGTGGCGCACGCTGAGCTCTGTCCTCAGAGGACTGTGGGGGGAGGACGCCACTGCGCTACTGGATGAGGCGCTGCCCCGCGACAGTGGGGATGGGAGGGGAAGCCACCCCAGTGCGCCCAGCTGAAGAACTGGGTTTCTTCCCTGTTCCAAAGCGGGAGACGTTTCCCAAAAGTCTGGGGCTAAAACCGACCAAAAGGGCCACGAGGAGCACTTTCTGAGCTGCGTTTCCTCATCCCCCACGCTGTGACATGGTGGAAGGTGCCATTTCCATCATGGGCTCCCCAGCACCCTGCCTGTCACGGGCCAGCCGACCCCTCAGCCGGGGCTCTCCCTGGGGAAGGCGGCCAGTCAGCACTGCGGGCGTCCCTGCGCCAGCCAGGGCTGAAGTCCCCGAGCCTGGACGGCCCTGGGCTGAAGTCCCATGTCAGCGGTGGACAGTTCCTCTGGGGGCAGGGGCAAGTCCGGGGAGTTGGGTTTGGGGAGGCTGCATGGCATGGAAACCAGGACGTGGCGCTGACTCTTGCTAATGGGAGACGAGCCTGGGCAGTTCGAGTTAAAACCGCAATGACTTTTACACCCCAAACACGGCCCCCACCGCGGACTGGCCGGAGGAGAGCTTGATGGGCTGCCACTTACTGGTGCCGTGGACCTCCTCCCCAGTGAAGCGGATGTTGAAGGCATAGGTGGGGTCACCGCCACTAGCCAGTTTGACACAAAGCTGAGAGGATGGCACTGAGGCCAGCTGCCGGGCAGCCTGGCAGAAGTAGGAGTTTTCAGAAGCTCTGATCTCCCCTGGAAAGAGAGAGGAACTGATCGAACCTCCCGCGCAGTCTCCCGCCCTCACTCTGCCCCTCGTCCGGCCCCCTGGCCTTCTCTCTGCTCCGCGAACATCTCTAGGTCTTTCATGCCTTAGCCACCTGGCATCCTTGTGGCGCCACCTCCTTGCCACTGGGTGGCTGGCCCTCCCATCCCTCCGTCGGCCTCCCGGGGCGGTCCTCCCCAACCTGGCCCTCTCTCGTTTCCTCTGCCTCACATCCCTCAGTTTGTTTACGTGCTGTGGCCGAGACTCCTGGATGCCTCCCCAGGGTCCAATCTCCCTCTCTTGCCTGGTGCCTGAACCCCGACTTTAGTGGGTCCAGGGCCAACCACAATGAAGTCCACATCCCGCCGCCCGCTTCCTGCAGCCAGGTGGGGCCGTGGGGCCGAGTTCTCCAAGGGGCGGTAGGGAGAAGGCTTTCCGTCTTCCTCCCGCCGCCTGGAGGCCAGGGCTCATGAGGGCCCGAGCGATGCTAGAGCAGCGGGACGGAAGCTGTCAGGTAAAGGAGGAACTGTCACCGCAGCCCTGGATTCCCTTCTCCTAGAGGCTTCTCTCGTGTGTGAGGAATCAACTCGTTTGTTCAAGGGCTGCTACTTGTGTTTTCGAGTCTGTGCAGCCCGTCTTACCCCCCACGATTTCCAGTGGGTCCAAAGTGATCTCAGGCGCCGCGTGGTCAGCTGTCCTCTGCACGGTGGCGTTCAGGACCCGGTTCATTACGGTTACCTTTGTGTCGTAGAAGATGAGCCCTGAAGGGAGGAAGCGGGAGAGAGGCTGGGACGGGGCTGCTCCCCTCCCTTCCCCGTCCCTCCTGAGGCCCGGCTGAGGCCATTGCCCCTCGGGGTCTTCTTCTGGGTGCCCTTCAGGTCCCTGGATGCCGTGCTGCCAGGGGCATAGCGGTCCCCACTTCCTGGCGGGTAATTTGTTAGGATCCACCCAAATGTCAACACGCAAACCCTGGGACTCTGTCATGCCTGAGACACACAGCTCGCAGACGTACGAACCCAAATACACGAAGGACAAGGTTTGCCATAACATTTTCTGAAACAGCAAAAAGTAAAAACCAGCCAAGTGTCTATCAGTGGAGGACAGGCTCCAAGGCCACGGGCGCTCGTGCCGTGGGCTGCAGTGCAGGGCGGCTGTGTGTGCCGAGAAGCCTTTGAAGTAGGCTGTCATACAGAAAGTGGAGTTGCAGAATAGAATACGTGACATAATACCCATTTTTGGTTAAAAAAAAAAAGTGTGTGTGTGCCTGTTAGTACATGAATAGGAAAGTCTGGGGGCAGATACCTACGTGTTAACGGTCACTTCTGGGAGGCAGATGCGTGGGAGGCAGACGGTGATCATAACTTTAACTGGATACGTTTCTAAATAATCTAAACTCTTTTCAGGTAAGTTTAATTTTTTTCAGAGCATGATTGTCTTTTCAGAGCGTAAAGTAATTGATTTTGGGTGAACTGGGGCTCCAGAGGAGACCTGCATGTTAAGTGTAAGGTTGGGGATGTGGGGGGGTGTCACCCCGAAAGCGGCCTGGAGGCACGTGATGGCCTGGCGACTCCACCCGGGGCCCAGGCACTGACCTTTGGCCTCCTTCAGCAGGGCGGCGATGCTGTGCGTGAACATGGGCGTCTGGCGCAGCTCCACCAGGGGCAGGAAGAAGGTCTCCAGCGTGGAGTTCAGGGACTGGAGCAGGGCGAAGCGCAGGCGCAGGCTCTCGACGGGCACGCCTGAGGGCACGAGGGACAGTCAGGCCGGGGGCTCTGCCCAGCACGGCTGCGACTCCATCTGTGAACAACTCGGGTGGTCCCTACGCCTGGGGAGGGCCACCAGGGGCAGGCGTTTCAAGCGGGACCAGGAGGCTCCTGCAGAGCTGAGATGCACTGTGAGACAGCGGCCCCCAACGTGCCGGGGACAAGGGGCGAGGCCCAGGTGGGTCAGCGGGAGGCCTGGCTCTTAAGGAATCCAAGGCCCCCAGCCCACCTTTGGGGCCTTGCCAGGACTGCATACTGCATTATTTTTAAACTTTTAATTTGGAAATAGTCAGACATATGAGGAGTTGCAACAACTGTGCAGAGTCCTGTGTTCCTTTCTGTCAGCTTCCCCCAGTGTGACATCACATATCAAAACCAGGAAGTTGGGACATTGGCACAGTGTCCTTTACTTGTTTGTCCACATGTGTCTCCTCCCCAACCGTGAGAAACAGACATGGGGACAATTCCTTCCCCACGACGCCCTTCACAGCGTCTGGGAGAGAGGGCGGGCCCTGGTCACGCGGCTGAGTGCAGGTGTGCAGGCGAAGCGGCAGCCCGGGGCACACGTGGGGACAGGTACAGAAACGGGCCCGGGGGCCATTTGCCAATGTGTCGTGACAAGAGTCATTTTCCAGGGGCGGGTCCAGAGAGATTGTCTTTTTTGTGCCTTCCTTGCATTGCCATGGGGGATCCCTGACAGGCAGTGGATGGGGTCGTCCCTGAAGGCATCCCCCTAGGGTCACATACTCAAGAGACAGGCCACTCTGGGGTCGGTGGCGTCCGCAGGGTCCAGGTACACCTCGTGGGGATGGAGCCGTGCGGGCGTGATGGCGAGGTGGCGGCACAGCCGGTTGACATACTGCACGAGCGCCACGTCCATCTCCAGGGTCCACCTCCTCGAGGCCTTGTGTGCGTGTCTCACGTCGATGCAGGCGCACCTGGGGAGAAGGGCAAGGTGGGCGGGCGCTGGGGGATGGGCGGGCTCCTTGGGGCCACGTCAAGCTCCCAGAGGCGCTTCTAGGATGGCCCGGCCTCCGGCTGTTTCCTGGAGCTCAGCCAAGGAGCTGACTGCAGAGGGGGCCGCACGTCAGCAGAGCAAAGCCCACGCGGAGCAGGCTGGAGGGGCGGGAATGACGCGACCTTTCTGGAGTTTGGCGACACACATCCACACGTGCCTCCCTCTTGTATGTGGGCAGTGGCGGAGCAATGGTGGGGCTCTGGCCTTCTGGGGTGAAATCGAGGCCACCCAGAGTGGCGCAGGCCACAGAGCATGCCTACGTTTTGAACTTCTGTTTCTTCACCTGTAAAATGGAGCTAGCGACAGCACGGCCTCATGTGGTGTCACGGGAACGTGCTGACAAGATGCCCGTGACGATACGCCGTGGTGCCCACACGGGAAAGGGCACTATGAGTGCCAGCTGCTGGTGTAAGGGCGGCCGAAGCCGTTATCCTTTACCCGGTGATCCCGTCTCAAGGCCCACCTGTAGAGCCATCTGATGAACGAACGTCAGAGGTGCGTTTGAGCGCGCGTCTCTGCGGGTCTGCTTTCCCATGGCAGCATCAGACACAAGCCAAGCACCCACCGCCAGGGCTCAGGTGACTACACTCCACTGCCCCCTAACAACGGCCCGCTGGGCAGCCATTACGATCAGCTGGTGGAATCACACTGCATGATGTGGGAAAATGAAAAAGGCAGACTGCAGAATGGTGGGTCTTGTCCGATCCCACTCCCCCAGCACTGAAGAAACCTCCCCCAGAAAGAGGTTGGGAGATGTTTAAGGAAACGTGAAGGTGACCATCCTGGGCGCAGTCACAGGAAATCTGCGTGCGTGCACATCCTGCACGACGGTCTTGTTAAGTGTGTGTGTCCTTACTCCACAAACATTAAGCCGTCAACCTAAGGGAGGCAGGGAGGCGGGTGGGGACAAGTGCCTCTGGTTTTAGAGGCCACATCGTACTTCAGGTGGGCCACATGAGGTGCATCACACGGAGAGGGCCGATTTGGGGAGGGGTGGAGCGTGGTGCCTAGCCTCTCTTCACTACAGGCCACCTCTTCCTTCCCGGGAAGGTAGAGAGACCTTCAGAAGAGGACCTTCCCGCTGGGAGGGTCCCCTCGCAGCCCCTCCGGGCCAGCTGCTCCAGGCAGACGCCTCTGTGCCCTGAGACCAGTCGTGGTGAGGGAACGGTGTGTCAGGGCGTCATCACGGCCCCATGATGCGCAGGCACGAGCCCTTCCAGTTATCACAAAAGTGTCACTTTGGAATTAATCCAATTTGTTCCCTTCTCACTTAATACATAGTTTCTGGCCCAGAATGAGTGATTTTACTTCCAACGAACCCCCAAACTCATCTGTTTTACTGATTTCTAAAACAAGTCGAACACCTGTTGCTGCCTCCATGATGCCCAGGCCCACGCAGAGACCGACTGAGCCTCCGATGAAGGTACAGAACACGGTGCCAAGCAGCGAACGATTTCCCAGTTCTGAACACGGGCTTTTAAATAGCAGGCTCTGGCAGCCCTTCCTCCTCTGATGCCCAGCACGGGCCGTGGGGTACATAGCCAAAGGGAGACGGTTTGGTTTGCTACCATCTTGTCGCTTAGCTAGAAGTGGAAACCTGATTTGTTTGGCCCTGGAAGCTCAGTGAGCAGTGATCTTGCTGTGCTCCTGCCTGGCAGGGACAGAGGGCAATAAGGATTCGGAGGAGAAAAGGCTTCTGGAATAAGAAATCATTCCTGTTAGGGGCTGAAATGTGAGTCTCTCACTAGCCCCTCCCCCAGTCATATGCTGAAGGCCAAGGTGACTGTATTTGGAGGCGGGGCCTTTAAAGAGGTAATTAGGGTTAAATGAGGTCACAGGATGGGCCCTGATCCAATGGGACTGGTGCCCTTATGGAAGGGGGAAGAGACCCCAGGGCTGCATGTGCCCAGAGGAAAAGCCATGTGAGGACCCAGTGAGAAGGTGACTGACTGACTGTGAGCCACGGACAGGCCTCAGCAGAAACCAGTCCTGCCGCTGCCCTGATCTTGGACTTCCTGCCTCCAGAACAGCGAGAAAACGAATTTCTGTTGTTTAGCGCAGGGTCTGTTTTCAAATGGGTTAGAAAACCCGCCTTAACAATTATGAAAAGTTAGGAAATGACAGCAGGCATTAAAAGCAGGGCAGATGGAATGGCTCCCCAGCAAGTGTTTTCTTGGAGATGCGTCTGGTGGCTGAAAACAATTTTTACAGACGGTATGGAACGGGCTGGGGGACAGCCTCTTACCTCTCAAAGTGCAGGTCGTAACCACAGGATAAAATTGCCCTCCAGACACTACGGACGTCTTGCTTGGCTCGGTCAACGACGAACTTGTGAAATCCTTCCAAGGTCAGATACTTTTCCTCAGGGACTGATGGAAAATTGTTCATGGCGTTAGGCCTTTGGTAAGAAGTGCGTGCAGTGGGGCCTCAACATGCTCTGGCCTCATCCTTTCCTTCGGGGCCCCATCCATGTAAGCCTCCTCCTGTCTCCCGTCACCCCAGGGTCTGCTAAGTGGCCACATCCGCCCACCGCCCCAGTACACGCATCACCCTCACCCTATGGGGCCTGAGCTGCAGCCTCACGCCATCGGGCTGCTCGTCAAGTGGTGCGGGGCTTTCCCCACAGTCCCTCCCTTCTCTAATCTCAGACACATTTCAACTAATGTCGTGACCATGAGAGAACAGCTTTCTCCAACTCTGCGGAGATCTTTACTTTCAGTTACAACCATCTATTTTCACCTTGGGTGAATGGTATTTCTGGAGCTGCTGTTTTGATCTCCATAAGTTCATGGTCATCAAAGATGGCATCCTGGGGCAATGACTGGCACTGGCCAGATACATGGCCCCAGTGTCTTTGGCAATGCTGCCCCTGCTCAAACTAAGGCCTAAGGGCGCCCAGCCACTCAGGCACAAGCAACCAGGCTGGTTCCCGCGTGGGCCGCCTGTCTCCAGGATGGAAGCAGTCCCCGAGCCCCAATCAGGCCTGAGGTGCTCACTCACTCTCTTGTTTCTTGGTGGGTGACTTTTCTGGGTCCTTTTCGTCTGGCTTGCTCTTTTCTGGGGACTTGGGCTTCACCGTTGGCTTCTTCTCGCTTAAAGCAGTCCTGCTGCAGGCCAAAGCACTGGGATCAGAGGGAATGCAGAACCTCACACATGCATGAGTTCGTGTTCACACAGGGCTGGGTTCGGGATCAGCTTTGCTCTGAGCAAAGTTTACTGACCCAGTTCTGAGGACAAACTGATGCTGTCAGATGTGAAAAACCTCAGAAACACTTTTCAAACATTCTTTCTATATACTTCGGAGCTGTGCTAAGCAGCAGCCACTAGCCAGACGTAGCTACTTAAGTTTAAATTAATAAAGTAAAATTACGAATTCAGTTCCTTGGCTGTGCTCACATTCTGAGTGCTCACATGTGGCCAGTGGCCACTGTCTTGAACGGCACAGGCAGAGACACAGCAGACTTCCATCATTGCAGAAAACTCCACTGCACTGTACTGACTTAAAAACACCATTTATACGCAATTAATTAATTAAAAGACCTCTTATTTTTCTGATCATCTAAACAATTCCTTTAGAGACTCCTGCTAGGTAACACTTTGCTATCAGGTTTCAAGTGTATTTGAGAGTCACAAGCCCATAAGAAAATTCTATTAAACACGTATGCATAGCCACATGGAATATTACACCTCAATTAAAAAAAAACAAACAAGGAAGCTGTTTCGTGCAAGCTTAGTAGAAAACAGAGCAGTAAGGGACAGGCGGTGTGCACGGCTCCCACAGCTGGGTGTGGATGCCATTTTGTACTATTTTAGCCATTTAAGAGAATACATATGCATAAATACAATGTCATGCCATAAGATGTGAAAAGTAGTTGCTATGTGAGGAGTAATTACATTTTTTTTCATGTATGTATTTTGTAGTCTTTCTACAATGACAATGCATTATTTGTGTGGTTAAAAGCAGCTAGAGTTTCAAACAGGTCTGCCCACTTTAGAACGTTTTATCAGTTCAGACTGGACTGCTTTCCATCCCGCACGGTCCAGACTTCACCAGACTCGTGAATAAAATGAAACTCTCTCAGCTGACGAGCCAAGGACTGGAAGGGCCCCGCAGCCGAGCAGAGAACGGCCAGGATGGCGGGGCTCCCGGGTGCCCCTGCCAGGGCCGCCTCCGAGCGCCACGCACACCCACCTGACGCTGTTGAGCACAGCCTTGTCCTTGGTGGGCGGCTTGGTGATGGGCCGCTTGGTGCTCACCACCTTCACGGGGTGCTGCTCCTTCCCGGCTCTGCTGTACTTGCTCTTGTCAAACTTGGGCTTTGGCACGCCGTACTTCCTTAGGATCTGTGGACGAGCAAAGGGGACAGGGTCCTCAGGCCCCCCTGAGGCACTCTTGGGGCCCGGCCCGGGCACGGGGGCAGCGGCAGCTACCTGGGTGAGCTGGTCCTCCAGCACCTTCTTTGGAGGCCGGACGTTGGTGAAGAAGAGGTGGAGGAGGTTGCCTGGTGTCTGGGAGTTGATCTGCTCTTTGCTCAGATAGATGTCGGACACTTTGATAGGCTTTGCTGGTGTCAGGCTCAGCATCTGCTCTGAATGGGCGCAGCTCTTAAATATCTCCGTGAGCACCTCTCTGGCTCCGGGTACCAGCTTCTCACCTGGTACGGAACGGAGGAGGGTGAAAGGGTTCTGCCGTGAACATGCCGTGGCGGGAAAAGCCTGCAGCACTTTATTTTTCATGAAGAATTTATTTTTGAAATTGTGTAACAGACATTTAGTAGCGACGATGGACAGTCTGCCAAAGCCTGGTTTCCTCTTTGGGGGCACACACCTCTGTGGCACACCCAGCATTCTTTGCAGTAAGGTATGGCCTTGTGACACGGGACATGAGCCACTCCTGGGCCAGGCTGCTCTCTTCTGCACTCATCCCCTCCACTGGCAGCATGGACATGACAAGCCCCCGGGGATGGCAGACCTTGGCGCTCACCCTGGACTCTTACACATACAGGAAATTAACTTCTATCGCTGTTCACACAGGGCTGGGTTCCGGATCAGCTTTGCTCTGAGCAAAGTTTACTGAGCCAGTTCTGAGGACAAACTGATGCCGTCAGATGTGAAAAACCTCAGAAACACTTTTCAAACGTTGTTTCTACATACTTCGGAGCTGTGCTAAGCAGCAGCCACTAGCCAGACGCAGCTACTTAAGTTTAAATTAATAAAGTAAAATTACGAATTCAGTTCCTTGGCTGTGCTCACATTCTGAGTGCTCACATGTGGCCAGTGGCCACTGTCTTGAACGGCACAGGCAGAGACACAGCAGACTTCCATCATTGCAGAAAACTCCACTACACTGTACTGACTTAAAAACACCATTTATACGCAATTAATTAATTAAAAGACCTCTTATTTTTTTTATCATCTTAAC